ACCATTCAAGATTAAGCATCCCGTTAACACCCCTCCAGTCATAGGGAATAAAGAGGGGTTGGTAGTAGGTTACAGATTGTTGTAATAAGCCAAAGATCCAGTGTCTCTATTCAGTCCATGATTTCTAGTATCTAGCAAAGTTATGAATTTAAGCTCCCGGGCTCATCTTTTGAGGGTCTTTTGCAGGTTTCCTTTGAAGAGGAGGACAGAGAGGTCAGATATAGAGTGATCACTTTGTGAAAAGTGTTCACCCACAGTGTATCACCCACAGGTGATATGGTGTTTTTGTCTTTTATCATTTTCCTGTGTGAGTTCATCCAGAAATGTAGTGATTGTCTGGTTTCACTCACATAGTTGTTATTGGGGCATTTAGTGCTCTGAATGAGTAGGTACACCACATGTTGTGATAGTCATGTGTAAGACCCGTGGATCTTGAAAGATGTGTTTTGGGGGACGTTAATCACTCTAGCAGTGGAGATACATCTGCACGTTTCACATGCTGCTTTGAGATGGTGTATCCTGGTCTGTGGGGAGCTTGCTTCAGATGCTGAGCTTGGAGAGGCTGGCAGGTTGTTTGAAGGCCAGAAGATGGGTTCAGGAAAAATTTCTTTCAGGATGGGTTAACCATTGAGTATGTGTTGTAGCTGTTTTATGATATCTAGTATGGATTCCAGTGTGGGTGGTGGGTGATACCTAGGGGTGTGTGCTCAGAGGGTGTTTTATTTCTGTATTGAAGCCGGTTCTCTCGGGGTATTTGGGTGGCCCATTCCATGATGAGATCTACTCTCTGGTGGAGTGTCCTTTTTTGGTGAAGGCTATTTTGAGTGTGTTAAGGTGTTTATCCCGGACTTTCTCTTCAGAGCATATTCTATGTTATCTGAGTGCCTGTCTACAGATAACAGATTTCTTGGTGTTTTCGAGGTGGTTGCTGGATCTATGAAGTTAGGTGTGATGATCTGTGGGTTTCTTGTACATGGGTTGTCTGTAGGGTCCCACTGTTGAAGCTGATTGTGGTGTCCAGGAAGTGTGGGACTGTGCTGGTGTGGGAGTGTTCCAAAGAGAGTATAATGGATGGGTTGTGGTTGCTGAAGTTGTGGTAGAAATCTAGGAGTTTAAGTTGTCTGTCCAGAGGATGAAAATATCATTGATGTATTTCATGTATATCACAGGATTCATGGTGCTTTTCTCCAGAAATTCTTCTTCAAGGTGCCCCAAGAAGAGGTTGGCGAATTGGGGAGCCATCCTGGTATCCACGGTAGTTCCCATAGTTTAGACAAAAGCAATTGTTGTTGAAAGTAAAATTGTTATAGATGAATATGGTGATGTGTTTGGGAGTGGATATCTGAGGATTGTCCATTGTGTGGTAAATATGTGATGCGGGCAGCTATGGAGTTATTGTGAGGGATATTGGTGTATAGGGAGGTGGGATCCATGGTGGCAAGAATGTTGTTCTGATGGAGGTTTTTAATGCTGCAGAGTTTGTGGAGGAAGTCTGTTGTGTCCTGGATAGAGTGACCAGACAGCAAGTATGAAAAATCAGGATAGGGGTGGGAGGTAATAGGTGCCTATATAAGAAAAAGGCCTAAAAATCAGGATTGTCCCTATAAAATTGGGACATCTGGTCACCCTAGTCCTGGAGGAAGCTGGCCCTTTGTGTTTTGAGAGTTTGTGGAGGAAGTCTGTTGTGTCATGGAGGAAGCTGGCCCTTTGTGTTCTGAGTGGTTTGAGGATGATTTCTAGGAGTCCAGATATTCCTTCAGTAAGAGTGATGTGGCCAAATATGATGGGTCTGCCTGGGTCCACATAAAACACACCAAGAAATTTGTTATCTACAGCAAGAGACTTCTCTTGTCTTGCTTACAACACTCCTGCTAGTATATCCCAGAATGACGTTCACTTTTTTTTGCAACAGTAATGCATTGTTGACTCATATCATTGGTCTACAATTTTTGAGAAGTCGTTCAGTTCAGAGATAAAATGCGCTATTTATTATGTATTTTGATGTGCTGAATTCAAATATGACAATTAAAACAACTGATTGGCTACTGTTTCTAAGATATTTAAGTTTTTACATGTTATGTCTATGTATATTGTGTAGATAGTAGAGTTTTAATCATAAATTGTAAAGCTAGGCCTTTTCATGTGTTTATGGTTGCTTTACATGATAATATGTCACCTGTCCTGTTTATGTAAAACTTTAAAAATCAGCAAAAGTGTTATATAAATAAAATTTATTATGAAACAAAAGGCAAAAAACTATTCTGTACATAGTTTAGTCCTATTCAGTGTCTACTCGGCGCTTCTTGGCTTGTCTCTTGTATTCATTAAATGGAGCATCTCTTGTCACTATCCAGCAATAGTCTGCAAGCATTGATCGGCTCCATTTGCCCTGATAGCGTTTCTCCATTGTTGCAATGTCCTGGTGAAATCGCTCGCCATGCTCGTCACTCACTGCTCCGCAGTTCGGTGGAAAAAAATCTAGATGAGAGTGCAAAAAATGTATCTTTAGTGACATGTTGCAAGCAAGGCTTTTGTATGCCTTGAGGAGGTTTCAACCAACAACCTGTAGTTGTCTGCCTTGTTGTTTCCGAGAAAATTTATTGCCACTAACTGGAAGGCTTTCCATGCTGTCTTTTCCTTGCCACGCAGTGCATGGTCAAATGCATCATCTCGAAGAAGTTCACAAATCTGAGGACCAACAAAGATACCTTCCTTTATCTTATCTTCACTTAACCTTGGAAATTTTCCACGGAGGTACTTGAAAGCTGCTTGTGTTTTGTCAATGACCTTGATAAAGTTCTTCATCAGACCCAGCTTGATGTGTAAGGTTGGTAACAAAATCTTCCTTGATTCAACAAGTGGTGGATGCTGAACACTTTCCCTCCCAGGCTCCAATGACTGTCGGAGTGGCCAATCTTTCTTGATATAGTGGGAATCTCTTGCACGACTATCCCATTCGCAGAGAAAAGAGCAGTACTTTGTGTATCCAGGCTGCAGACCAAGCAAGAGAGCAACAACCTTCAAATCGCCACAAAGCTGCCACTGATGTTGGTCATAGTTTATGCACCTCAAAAGTTGTTTCATGTTGTCATAGGTTTCCTTCATATGGACTGCATGACCAACTGGAATTGATGGCAAAACATTGCCATTATGCAGTAAAACAGCTTTGAGACTCGTCTTCAATGAATCAATGAACAGTCTCCACTGGATCGTGAACGATGTTGAGGACTGCCATCCCACCATCGATGTTGTTGCAGGCTACAAGATCACCTTCCATGAAGAAGAATGGGACAAGACCCTTTTGACGGTCACGGAACATGGAAACCCTAACATCACCTGCCAGGAGATTCCACTGCTGTAGTCTGGAGCCCAACAGCTCTGCCTTACTCTTGAGTAGTTCCAAATCCCGGACAAGGTCATTCAGTTCACCTTGTGTTATGAGGTGTGGTTCAGAGGAGGAGGATGGGAGAAAATGTGGATCCTGTGGCATTGATGGTTCAGGACCGGAAGTTTCATCCTCTTCCTCGTCTGACTCAAATGAGAATGATTCTGGTGCATCAGGAACCGGCAGTCCTTCTCCATGAGGTACTGGGCATATAGCTGATGGAATGTTTGGATAATGCACAGTCCACTTTTTCTTCTTTGACACACCTTTCCCAACTGGAGGCACCATGCAGAAGTAACAATTGCTGGTATGACCTGTTGGCTCTCTCCAAATCATTGGCACTGCAAAAGGCATAGATTTCCTTTTCCTGTTCAACCACTGGCGAAGATTTGTTGCACAAGTATTGCAGCCCATCTGTCGGTCCCACCTCTTGTCCTGATCTCTAATTTTGCAG